AAAGATCACTTGCGGCGTGGGAGAAGATTGCCGGTCGAGGAGGGGGAGAACCGTATGATGCGCTCGCCGTCTCCGATGCTGGAGCTCGTCGTTCAGAATGAGGTCAGTTATGATGCTCTGGAGATGGCGTCGGTGTGTCTGCGTTGAAAAAGCAAAAAACGAGAAGGGTAAAAGCAGAATTTCATGGAACTCTCTGGAAGTCTGTGTTATGTTAAAGCCTATTCGGCTATTCCATGAACCCAGAGTAATTACATGTCTTAAATCGTTTTATTTTATCCGGTTTAAAATATAAACTAAATTTTGTTGAAGGATTTAATTTTTTTTTATAAGATAATATTTATTTTTATCTAAATATTTAATAATTTTTCTTAATTTTATTTCTATATATTATTTTTTTATTTATTTATTATATCATTTACTTATTTTCTTCATTAATAAGAACATATTTAGAAAAAATATTTTTTTATATTTATTATTTTAAACTGATTTTAATTAATTTCTTGATAAATATAGATAAATAAAATTTATTTTACATTTTAAATCAGTATAATATAAAAATGTAAAATTATTTTTTATAATAAAATAGATTTTACATTTAGTATTTTGTGGCAGGAAACGACTGGCCAGAAAAACATAATTGTATCAAACAACTTGGACCATGGAATTTAATTTCATTTTCGTTTTTGTTTAGAGGAACTTATGCTGGGGACGAGAGCGAGTAATTATATGAACGGAGTCAAGTCAATGGCGCATAATGAAGCTTCCTCGTTTCTTCTTCCCATACATAAATCTTTTTGCAACCCTTTGTTTCATTTCATTCGCTCTCTTGCACAAGCAGTGTAAGCCTCATAAATCTCTCTCTCTTCTCAGGTCTTTATCATCAATTAGCGATTGCACTGGTAACTTTCTGCTCTACCTACACTTTTTTCCCCCTAATTAACGGTTTCTTCTTCTTCCTTTTCAGAAAGACACGATTGATCGATCGTTTCAAGAGTCCAATATCTTGGAAGCGGATAAACGACAGAGGATTTCATGGATCTGACGAATCAGCTTGGTAACCCATTTATCCTTTCACTTTCCGTGGGAAGATATTTGATTTCTTATGCTCAAAAAAAAACAAAACAGAGAGATGGGTATCAAAAAGAAATCAAAGAGGGACATCTTGATCGACACAAAAGAAATTAATCCCCACCCAAAAATAATCCATATTTTATTGGGAAAATGCCAAAAAAAGTCATTGGAATATAGGAAATTTCAGATTGGGTCCTGGAATTTCGAAAATGACAGAAAGGGTCAGTGACCCGATCTGTCCTTTGTAAAATCAAGAAGAATTGACAACTTTGCTCTTATTTGTATTCATTCACTACAATGATTTAAGGAATCACTATAAGGATTCAGGCGTTACCTAGATTCGTGTAGCGAATAACTACTCACTTTTTCATAGTTAGGTGTCTTATTATTAACTATAACTAATTTTGTAATCACTAAAACAATGTAAGCATTACCTAGATTCATGTAGAGAATAACTACTCACTTTTTCATAGTCAGGTACCTTATTATTAACTACAACTAATCTTATAATCACTAGAACAGTGTAAGCGTTACCTAGATTTGTTTAGAGAATAACTACTCAGTTTTGCTTAGCCAGGGGTAAAATTGTCAATTCGTCTTAATTTCACAAATGACAGATTGGGTCATTGACCCTTTTTGTCATTTTTGAAATTTCAGGACCCAATTTGAAATTTTTTTATATTCCAAGGACCTTTTTTTAGAATTGTCCCTATTTTATTTTCTCCTTTTTTTTTTTTTTAATTCTTCCCTGGCAAGAAGCCAGAATCGACCCTTCCAGCTACCCCCGCTGCAAACTTAGATTTTTGTTATTAAATGCAAAAGCTTTAGGTTTTTATCAATAATTTATATTCCTTTATTTTTATAAACCAGATTGATTGTGTCCCTCCCCTGATTTAGTGGAAATTTTAAAAATAATTTTATGATATAAAAAGTAGGCATGTGAGTAAAGTTTTATTTCATTTTATATGAAAGCACTTTTTAAAGGTGCTTTTTGGTTTCCAAACACCACAAATCTGAAATATATATAATGTCATTTTGAATTTTAAGAAAGGGTTAGGATTGAGGATGCAACTAAAAAAATAACATCAATGCATTAAAAAAAAAAAAAGATCAAAGTGTTAGATGTATCATAAAAATTAAAAAGGATGTTGGATGCATTGGATGCATCTTAACCTTTTAAGAAATAGCAGTCTATTAGATGCGAACATGTTTGCTGGATCATGAGTGAGTTAATTTATGCACAAACATTCCGTTAATGCATTTTTATTTGAATGTCTCAAAGCATATAAGAATTTTTCTCTATATAAATATTTTTGTGCATATTATTTAAATTAGATCATTTTAATCATAACCAACGTGATATTGAGTTGACCTTATTTGATTCATCGATGCTTTGAATTATTGTGTTGACCTTATGGTTAATATGTGTGCATCCCTCGGCCCCAAAAAAGACACAGGGGGTCCGTTATAGGGCGCGGTGGTGTACGTGGGATTCTTCTTTGGGAAAACTACATTAAACTCCCATCCAAAAAAATAAATAAATATAAAAAAGCTTTTTAAAATTATTAATTAAATTAATATGAAATTTTAAGGAATTTTTTTTTGGAAGAGATTTCACTTGTTCAATTATGAGGCTATCTTCATTTTTTTTTTTAAATAGGTGTTGAAAACTTAAAAAATAATCGTTAACAAATTAAGATGTGATAACTAATCACTATCATAATAGGTATTAACAACATATTTTATTTGCATATCACATTAGCATATTTAACTTTAAATCCTTGTGATGTGCTAAAAATATGTGTTGTTAATACTTACCACGATAATTGTTAATTGTTGCATTTTAAGTTATTTATGACTGTTCTTTCAGTTGTCAGTGCTTACTGCTAAGCGCTAATAAAATGTTTAACATTTTAGATTATTAATGACTGTCTTTACAGTTGTTAATAAATATGGATAAAAAAACCTAATAAGTTGAAAAGAATATGAGGGCAGTTTAGTAATTAAATAAGTGAAATCGAGAGATATTTTGTGACTTCAAATTTACATTAATTTGATGATTTTTAAAAAAAAAATTGTGTTAATTTCTCTTAGCAGGGATCTTAATGCAATTTTTCTTTATTCATATCAAGCAAAATGCACCAACGGTATGGTAGGAAAAGGAAGATATTTCATGGTTTTGCTAAAATAAAAGTGCTAAAACTTTGATTTTGTATTTAGGGTTGCTTGGAGTAGCTTTTAAAGAATAACTTCTTAAAAAAACGTTGATAAAAAATTATTTTAAGAATATATTTTTAAAAAATAGATTTTGTGAAAAATATGATTTTGATAAAATAAGAATGTTTAAATGGTTATTGTCATAATTACTTTTTTTCCAAGTGCAAATTATTCAAAAAGACATAAATTAAGGTGATAATCACATAAAAGACAAATTTTAATTAATAATTTTATTTAAAGTAAAACATTAGTAAATAATATATTTTTGTTTTAACAAATGATATGTGATGAATATAATTAATTAATAATTAATCTATGTATATGTATATATGTTTATGAAATATAAGATTTAAACATATTTTTAGAAAAATGATAATTTCATCTCAAAAATTTTAAACACCATGTGTCATAATATTTTTGAAAAATTGAATAAATATATGTAAAACCAATTTATTATCTATATAATTAATTAATATATGTGTGTATCTATTTATAAAACATAAGATTAAATATATCTGTATATCCCAAACCATGGTTTTATATTTCCAAAAGCAAAAAGAAATTCACCTATGAAAAATCATATTTTTCAATACAAAAGTGATTTTACAAAAAACTATGATGTTTGGATAGTTTTCTCAAAACCATGGTTTTGAGATTTATACAAACACCAACACAAAATTCTATGTGAAAATGATTTTTAGGAGATGTTTGGATTAGCTTTAGAGAATAGATTTTAGAAAAAAGTAATAAAAATTTATTTTGAGAAGAGATAGAAGTATAGATATTATGAAAAAGTTATTTTAATCAAATGAAAATGTGTGGATGGTTATTATTAAAATCACTTTTTTTTCATGTGCAAATTACTAAAAAAATGATATAAGTTAATGTGATAATTACATAAAATATTATTGTTTAAAGCAATAATTTAATAAATAATATATTTTTCCAACATAGTAGTATATAAAAAGTATAATTAATTAACAATTAATATGATATATATATAAAAGTGCCATAATATTTTTAGAAAAATTGAATTAAGATATGTAAGACAATTTAATATTTATATACTTAATTGATTAATGATTAATAAGTGTGTGTATATATGTTTATAAAATATAAGATTAAATATAATTTCAAAAAACTATAATTCCATCCTAAAGATTTTCCATGCCAAGATCACGGGTTTTCTATTTCAAAAAGTATAATAGTTTCACTTTTGAAAAGTCCTGGTTTTTCACCCCACAACCATGGTCTCCAATCAAAATTGATTTTGTCAAAAATTCATGAGTTTGGATAGTAGAGCTAAAAGCCCTTTTTTTTTTCCCCAATAGAAGCCAAACGCCCCAATGAACTTCACAATTGCTTGCCTAGAAGAATTTAGCGGAAGAAGAAAGGGAAAATAGAGGGGGGAAATGAGAAAAGGAAAAATTACATTTATTATTTTTTTAGGGGTACGGGGGTCAATGAATTATCTTTTTCTTCTTGAATATATTTAACATTTTTATGGTCATTCATGATAAATATTAACCAGTGTTTTTGTAATTTAAAATATTGTAGGCAATAGATATGAAGTGTTCTTGAGTTTTAGTAGAGGCGAAGAAACTCCAGAATCTTTCTCTTCCCGTCTCTATTCATCTCTGAGGGAAAAGGGATATTCTGTTTTCAAAGAGGATATATCAATTGAATTATTGCAGAGTGTCCGATGTCGTAAAATGTTCTTCATCATCTTATCTGAAGACTATGTTAGTTCTGGAATGTGCCTCGAGGAACTCACAAAAATCATGAAGTTTCGCAGCATGCCATATGATCATGTAGTTTTTCCCATATTCTGTGACGTGGGTCTGTCTAAAGTTTGTAATCAAGAATCTAGTTTCAAAGAAGCATTTCAAGGTCTCTTTCAAAAAGTTTCATCCACTGAAGAGCAAGTTTCACGGTGGCAGAGAGCTCACTGTGAATTTAGAAGGTACGTTGCTAGCATTGATGCGCTTGCTCACTTCAACCTCAAGTCCGCTGGGATTGATGTTTCTGCTCACCTCAAGTCTGGGTAATTTATTTTTCCTTTTGTTTTGTATTCTATTTATTTTCAATTTTGCTAATATATTGTGTGCGTGTGTGAGAGAGTAGTACGGCTTTTTTGGCAATCCATAACAATCAATCAATCATCAACTATTAACTATTAACTATATTCTTGAAATCTTATAATATCTGATTCGTTTGAAAATGGGTTGGGTATATGACAAAAAAAAAGAAACTGGGTTGGGTATAACATTATAGATCCGAATATATGGAATTTGAATAATATATTGATTGGGATTTGAATATGTTGTTTTAAATAGGGAAGATTATAATCAAATGAGGCTTCAATTGGAGGCTTAAATGGAAAAAGCAATAATTAATTTCATATTTGAATAATATCTTAATTGACATTTGAATATATTGAATTAAATAGGGAGCATCATTATTAATTAGGATTTTAATTGGAGGCTCAAATGAAAAAATTAGTAATTAATTTTGAATTTTAATAATATCTTAATTGGTATTTAAATATATTGGATTAAATGGAAAGAATCATAATTAAATAATAATTCAGTTGAAGGCTTAATTAGAGAAATAAATAATTAAGTGAATATTCAGCTACTTAAAATAATGCAATATATAAGAATATCAAATCTAAACAAATATAGTAATATAGTACTCCGTGCATGGGGCAAAAAATTTCTAGTTAGTTATTGAAAGATAAGCTTGATATTAATTATTGATAATATTTATTATTATATAAAGCGGGCTTATGTTAGGCTTTAACATATATACTCCCTACTCATATAAAAATATTTTTTTCCTATAAATGTTTTGAAGTTAAAACCTATAGCACATAGTCTAGTATCACAATAAATGCGACAAAACTTTAACAGACAACAAATTTAGGATGCAGGAGACGCATAATTCCCTGCTATTCATGCTATGCAGTGGAGTCTTATAATTTATGTAACCCGATTAACATATATAGAACTATGATTTTAGGAATTGACTTGTATTATTTTAATTCGGCGAAGGCGAGAATATGATAAAAGTAACAACGCTATTCTGTGCTGAATTTCCTGATGGAAATATGTGTCACTCCTAATACCGCATTATCCTTCTTTATTATTTGTAGTCATGCTAATTAATCAGTGCTCTCTTGTCTGCTATTCTTTTTTCATAATTTACAGCTCTCTACATGATAAGGATATTGAGCCTATTGTCGGTCTTGTTGATCATTTATTATTTGATGATAAGATGTTCCCTGTTGGAGTGGATTCTCGTGCTCAGGATGTGATTACAATGCTTCATAACCATAAAACAAAAGATGTTGTCTCCATAGGGATATGGGGAATGGCGGGTATAGGCAAAACAACTATTGCCAAAGCTATCTTTAACCACATTCAGTATGAATTCGAGGGCACATGTTTTCTTCCAAATGTCAGGAAGCAATGGGGGAGAAAACTCGACCTTGTTTCAGCAATATGTAAAGCAACTGAATCAGGAAGCCTCGACTTGAATGAAAGACCTTGCCGTAAGAAGGTACTTGTTGTGCTTGACGATGTGGATAAGCTGGAGCAACTGAATACTTTATGTGAAAGTCGTGAGCAATTTGGTGAAGGGAGTACAATTATCATTACAACTAGAGATTCACGTCTATTTAATGACTTTAAAGTGGATGACACATATCGCATGAAACTTTTGAGTAACGAAGAGTCTCTTGAACTTCTCAGTTGGCACGCATTTCAACAAGCATCCCCTAAAGAAGACTTCATCAATGTTTGCGAAGAAGTGGTTGCTTTTGTTGAGGGACTACCACTGGCTCTTGAAGTCATTGTCTATGCTTCACTGTACGGGAAGCAACCGAATGAATGGAAATCCATATTGTGGAAGATGAATAGAGATCTACCTAATGGCATAGACGAGGAACTAAGCCATAGCATTGACTACTCCTTGAATGGTGAAGAGAGAGAAATATTTCTTAATATAGTTTTATTTTACATTGGAGAGCCCATGCATGATGTGGTGCGTAAGTTGGATGGCCGTGGATGTAAAGCTAGCATCGGAATAATAGCCCTGGTGGATCAAAGCCTTGTAACCATTGACGACGACAACAAACTTAGAATGCATAATCTGTTGCAGCTCATAGGAAGACAAATAATATATGAAACTCCACAATTCGAGCTTGGCAATGAAGGTACGTTATGGTTTTGTGAGGACGCATTATGTGTTTCACGTACACGCATGTCGCAATGATAATTAATATTATTTTCCATAACATTTCTGATATTTTATAATCTTATATTATAAACTTGTTTATGTCATAGTAATATTTTGATTGTATTAATTTGAACAGCAATTTAATTTACTAATATTCTGTATTTTAAAATCTATATAATTTCAGCTTACAGGTATGATGTGTTCTTGAGTTTTAGAGGTGAAGACACTCGAACAAATTTTACTTCACATCTCTATGCGGCTCTATGTAATGCTGGTGTTTATGTTTTCAAAGATGATGTTGAGCTTTCTGAAGGAAAGTATATAAAAACAGAACTTTTGCAAGCAATTGGAAGTTCAAAAATTGCAATCATCATCTTCTCTGAGAAATATGCTGGATCTAAATGGTGTTTGGAGGAATTGTCAATGATCATGGAGCTTCATAAAACAAATAAAAGGGCGGTTCTACCTGTGTTTTACCATGTTAGTCCAAAACAAATTCGTCGTCAACCTTCCAATTTTGGTGGAGCATTTAACGATCTTGAACAAAAGAATTCACCATCAGAATATCAAGTTTCGGAGTGGAGGGAAGCCCTTTTTAGAGCTGGGTCTCTTAAAGGGACCGTCTTACATTGTTCCAGGTAATTCTTTTTCACTCTTTATTTACTTTTGAATGAGACACTTTATATGTGTTTATATTATTTGCAGGAATTTCACCATCTACTTTTAATTGGAACACGACTCACTAATTTCTTCCCCGCGTGGCACAGTTTTAAAAGTTGCATATATTGTAAAATTCTCTGGTATAATTTTGCAAATGCATTGTTCTAGTTGCAATTTCCTTGAATATTTTGTCAAACCTATAATAGTAGGGCTAGAAAATAATTAGGTCTAGCATACTGCTCTCACAATCATGCATGGCTCATTATTATAGAACCAACTAAGCACAAGATATATGCGGTATCATTAATTGTGCTTCATTCCAATTAGTTTTTGTTTTTTGACTTCTGAATTATTTATATTGTAACTAATTAACCATCTGCGTGAACGGATTCTTTTTGCAAATGAAGCCTTCTTTAAGCAAAATTATAAGTGGGTTTAGGTATTACATGAAGCCTTAAGCCAATCACCGTTTCCAATTTTCCATATACGAGGACCTTATTAGTCAAGAAGAAAGAGAAATTATTTAAAGAATACTTGATCATTTGACAAATATTTGGAGAACCAGAAATGATTTTGTTATCTTTGATTTATTTTAATATATGTGATATTTTCAAATTATGTTATGCTAAAGTCAACTTTATTGAGATTTGTTTTAATTACTTAAGGAAGGTTTAGGGCCCTATAAGTTCTTGTGTGGATGCCTTATTATTGAATGAAATCACAGGTTTAAATTGCTTTCTCTCGTTTCTCCCAACTTCTCCCTAATTCTCTAAATCATGCAGACAAGTGTGATATTGATTCTCATAATAAATTAATGTGCTTACAGTGAACTGAATTTTGTTTTGCAGTAAAATAATGAGTGTTCACTAATAATATCTCCTTTTCTCCAAACAAAACATATAGCTTTTAAAATATTGAATTTATTTTTTCATAACCATACGTGTTTTTATGTCCAACGCACAATTCCTATTATGCTTATGTGATTTGCAGGGACGAAAGTGAATATGTTAAAGATGTTGTTCGGCAAGTTTGTGATATATTGCACAAGAAAGACTTGTTTGTCACTGAACACCCAGTAGGAGTGGATAATCGCGTGGAAGAAGTGATCACAATGTTGAAAAACCATCCGTCTGAAGATGTTGTTATGGTGGGGATATGGGGAATGGGTGGTGTAGGCAAAACAACTATTGCCAAAGCCATTTATAATCAAATGGGTCCCACTTTTGAGAGTAGAAGTTGCCTTTTAAACATAAGAGAAGCATGGGGTCAAGAAAAGGGGAAAGTGCGCTTACAGAACCAACTTCTTTCAGAAATATGCAAGACAACACAAATGAAGATAAAAAACATTGAATCAGGAAAAATCACATTGGGAGATAGACTTCGCCATATAAAGGCACTGGTTGTACTTGATGATGTGGATGAGTCAGATCAGTTGAGTGCTTTAGTTGGAAGTCATGATTGGTTTGCTCAAGGAAGTAGAATAATAATTACAACTAGAAATAGACATCTACTTAAAAAGGGCTATGTTGTTTATGTAATGAAGAATTTGGGTGATGGGGAATCTAATGAGCTTTTTAGTTGGCATGCATTCAAAGAAAAAAGTCCTCAAAAAGGTTTCATTGAAGTTTCAGAAAAAATAGTTGCATACTGTGGGGGACTTCCATTAGCTCTCACAGTCCTTGGCTCTTATTTACTGAAAATTGATGACTTGGAGGAATGGAAGAAAGTACTGAAGAAACTTAAAGAAATTCCAAATGACAAGGTACAAGAGAAGTTAAAAATAAGCTTTGACAATTTAAATGGCCTGGAGAAAGATATATTCCTTGATATATGTTGCTTCTTTATTGGGATGGACAAAAATGAAGTGACACAAATATTAGATGGTTGTCAACTTTTTGGTGACAGTGGAATCAATACCCTTGCGGAGCGAGGCCTTTTAACTATTGATGAGAACAAGCTTGGTATGCATGATTTGTTGCGGGACATGGGAAGAGAAATAATTCGTGAACAATCCCATGCACTTGGGAAGAGAAGTAGGTTATGGCTTAATGAGCATGCACGAGATGTATTATTAAAACACACGGTAGGAACTCTTGTTGTCACAAGCTCTATAAAGCTTGATCATGACACATGTTTTATTTTGCTTTTTGGCAAACAAAAAACACAAGTGCATACTTTACTTTCAATGTGCCTTTACTTTTGCAGGGAACTGAGGCTATTCAAGGACTGTCTTTGATGTCAGAAAGTGAAACAATGCATTTTCAGACAGAAGCATTTGAGAAGATGAAAACACTCAGATTACTTCGGCTTGGTAATGTACAGCTTAGAGGAGACTACAAATTCATCAGTAAAGATCTAAAATGGCTTTGCTGGCATCATTGTCCTGAAAAACACATTCCAAGCGACTTTTATCAAGAGGATTTGGTTGTTATTGACTTAAAGCACAGCAACTTGAGACGAGTGTGGAAGAAACCCCAGGTATGTAAATTATAGCTATTTTGTTGGCCTTTTGAGATAAATAGAAAAAAAAATTGAACAATGAAAAAATTGCCAAATTATTATATGATGGAAAGCCTAATTTCTCTGAAAAATTACCAAAATACTTTGGACGTGTAGCATGATGGTAAATAGTTTTTGTGATATGTCACTTGTCCTAATTTTTTTTACTTCTTAGTTTTTTGGCGGTATATGGCTCAAAAGGCTAAGTTAATTTGGTGGTATTAGCTTCAAAGTTGTACATGGAATAAAGGCGAGATTAGGGACGTGTAATTCATTGGATTTTATATCTTGCGGCCTTCTTGATAGTTCTTTGTTTTAGATTTTTTTTTTTCATATCTTCTGAATGAATAATCTTTCCTATCCAGTGTTCAAAAACAAAGCAGCTAGATTTTCTTTAATTCTCATTGCTTTACACGTCTTGCTATAGATATAGACAGACATTACACCATTTTATTGTATTATATGTGTTAGCTTTTCCAGATTAAGTATTTGATAGTCTATTTTTCCCTTCAAGAGTTAATTTTCAATTGATTGAAAACAATGTTGTCACTTAGAATTTTTGGTTTAGATGAAGGATTTTACATATAATCGATTCCACATATTTTATTATTTATTTTTTTAAAGATGTCCATCTAATTCTCCTTTGAAATTAAATGTTTTCATTGTAGTCATTGGAAAGTTTGAAAATCCTCAATCTCAGCCACTCTCCTTACTTGGTGCAAACTCCTGATTTTTCAAAACTACCAAACCTTGAAAAGTTGATCCTCAAAGGCTGTCTACGTTTGTCCAAGATACATCATTCTATTGAGCTTCTTCATAAACTTCTTCTACTAGATCTGGAGGACTGTATTAGGCTTGATAGTCTCCCAAGAAGCGTTTATAGATTAAAATGCTTAAAAACTCTCATTCTTTCTGGTTGTGAGAATATTGAAAAGCTTGAGGAGGACATAGAGCAAATGAAATCTTTGAGAACTCTACTTGCTCCTGCAGTAAAACAAGTGCCGGTTTCTTTACTGAGATCAAAAAGCATTTTTTATCTATCTATTTGCGGTCTTAAAGGATTGTCACGTCATGTGATTCCTTCTCTCTACCGGTCTTGGATACGCCCAACAAATAATCCATTACCTCTTGTTCTAACACATACGGGCATGCCATCATCAATTTTGTCAAAGATGCTAAACAGTTTCCGTGGACGTCCTTCAACAATTCCTAATAGTGATCCAAAGCAACAAAATTTTTTGTTGGAAGATGGGTTGGAGATTTCTAATTCATTGCGTCTCACCAGTTGCATGGACATCTCAAGGCTTGAAAGTTCTTTGGGTTGTCTTTTAATTCGAATTGGAAAGAATTGTCAAGTCTCTCATGCACTTTCAGAGAGGGTTTCAGAGGTTTTCTCTCCCTAGATTCATTTTTTTTAATTTTCTTTTTTTTTTTTAAAAAGATTCCTACATGCATATTATATAGTTAAATTAGAGTTTGCATTTCTTTCGTTTTGCAGGGGTTGAATCTGAAAAAGTATAGTGATGATTATCTCCCTGGCCACAAATATCCCTATTGGCTAACTTTCAAGGGTGAAGGAGATTCTGTAAAATATAAAGTTCCTTCAGTTAATGGTCATGATCATTTAAAAGGGATAACTATTTGTTGTGCATATTTTCCCCCAGGTGATTTGGATAAGAAGACATGTGAATCATGTATAATCAGCTTAATGATAAGAAATTATACCAAGAGAACCACTTTGGTGTACACTAAAGACAAACTAAATTCAATGGAAGAAGCAGGGAGGAAGGAAATAATATCAAATATAGAATGTGATGACCAAGTAGAGGTGAAAGCAATCTTTGGGAATGAATTCACTGTGGAGAAAACAGCAGTCTACTTGATATATCATGAGTCATTTGACAAAGAGATGAAGTCTTCACCATCTGAAGCTACAAATTTATCCGGCGCCAAGCACAAATGTGAGGAGGAGAAGCATTTGAAATTGGGAAACTTTCTTCCCTTATTGGCTGCAACATTTTTTGTGATCTTTCTTTTCTGGTCACGAAACTTCTCATAAAGTCAATATTTCATTTCCGATCAGATATGCAGATAGCATTGTACTGCCATTTATGGCTCTCTTTTCCATATAATGTGGTGTTGTTTTTCTTTATTTACTTCTTCCTTTTTCTACCATTAATCACTGTTTGAATAAAAAATGAAAATAAAATTGTGGCAAGAATATAAAAATAACCAAACATATTGATGAACATGTAGACTCATCACATGTTTATGCATCCTTAATCTACCATCCGACAATGAGATGTGGAACTTTTTTCTATAGATCTAACAACGATGATTTTTCCCCGCTAATCTTTATAATTCTAATTTATCTATCGGCATATTCCATATAGCTATTAACAGGGTATCACATACATGCGTATGTTCATGCATCGTCGCGGTTTCATTTGCTGCTGAACTTTTTCTTCATTACGGCAGTCGGTTCCTCAAGAAGAGAGGCCAGAAGCCTTTCTTTGAAGCTCTTCCAAAAATCAAAGACGGTTCTGTAACTCTATTCTCTACTTTTTTTTTTTCCCGTTCTTTTTGGATAAAAAATATAATTTCGGTTGCTAGTTGAATCAGGCGAAGAATTTTGTGCTGCCCCCTTGGGTATACGAATCTTCAAGCTGAACCCGAGGGACCTGTAAATAAGGTCTGCATCAGATTTGGCACCGGAAAAGCGCTCGGAGAATTGAAAGGAATAGATTTTTTTTTTTGGGATAATTAATAGGCAAGTCCTCATAGTCTTAGTTGGTTTTTAATCAGGTCCTTGTAATTTTTTTTCTTTTTATCAGGTTCTTATACTTTCACATGTTTTTAATTAAGTTCTTATAATTTTTTTTCTTTTTATCAGGTCCTTATTGTTTTATTTTATTTTTAATTAAGTCCTTGTAGTTTTTATTTTTTATTCTATAAATAATAATATTCTAAAAATAATAAATTATCATAAAAATCTTATGTTAATATTCTTTTAAATTTTTAGTTAAACAGATATATTATTTATTTTTCAATTCTGATTTTTATAATTATAAAATTCAAATTATAATAATAAAATTTTCTAAAATTAGAATATAATTATAAATAATTTATATTTAAGTATAATTAATTATTCTGATTAATTATTAATTCCTAAATGATTACATTAATTATTTTGTCCAATTATATAATATTAATTTAAAATGAAATTAATTTTAAAGAATAAAGTTAATAAATAATTTTTTAAAAATGACAAATGACCTAATTAAAAAATAAGTGAAACTATAAGAACCTAATAAAAAGAAAAAAAAATGGAGGGACCTAAGTAAAAACATGTAAAATTAAAAGGACCTGATAAAAAGAAAAAATTTTATAAGGATCTAATTAAAAATCAAGTGAAACTATAAGGACCCAGAGATTAATTATCCCTTTTTTTTTTTCCTGGGCTATACTGCTATGTGTGGTCTCTGTACTGGCATTGAGGAGGATGTGCGAAAGAAGTCTGGAAAGTATGTGCAGAATTTCTTTCAGCTTGATAAGAAGAGAGAGCTGGCTTATTCGGAACTTAAAGGAGAACGCTTCAGGAAGGCATACCAATTGGGATACTATTCCTGAACTGACTTGCTGGTACCTTTGGAAGGAGAGAAAAAAGAGAATTTTTGAAGACAAAAGTAGCAGCAAGGAGAAGCTCAAGAGGAGAGTCTTTGAATTTGCGGAGGAAATTCATGGTAACCTCAACAATGCGCAGAACAGAAATGTCAAATGGAATCAATGTAGAAGGTGAAGGAGGGTGTCGCGGCCTCTTTCGTACGGCAATGCACAATGTGATGAAACGTAATGTGAAGCTAATGTGATTTTAAGTGCTTTCTTGGCATTGAATTACATAGTGTGCCAAGCACCATTTCGAATTCCTTGGCTTATGTGCGGTGTCAAGTGAAAACTTAACTGCAATATCAGCTTCACTTTAGGCCACATGAACCATCTTTGTCTACTATCTGCTAATGAGCTTACTAAAAGGATGGAAAAGAAGATACTGATTGGAGGACTGATGTAAGATATTAAAGTTGTGAGAGGTCAAATGAGACGAGGTGTACACTTGGAGGACTAAAATTTATGCCCACTCCTTTAATTATTCAAACATGAAGGAAACAGTTCCCTGACCTTACTCTGCTTCACGATGGTGAAACTCTGATAATGTTTTTCTTCAACGTTCTCCTCAGCCCACCTCCAAAGGGCACACCTGGGGTCATTGGTCAAACACGAGGTCTCCTGAATTATGTTGAACAAAGCTGCTCAAAAGCTGTTTACACCCCTCAAATGAAGTAGGTTTTTATTGCTGGAAAGTAAACTCATCCTTCATGCTTTGCTGATTGGATTCTTTATTCGTTGGATGAGTGAATCATTACTTTCTCTTCATAGTCCCTCATGTGCTAAATGCTCTAACAATTGTGGATGATTTAGATGTTTTCATTGATTTACTACTTCTTGAAGGACGAGATTAGAACCGAATCCAACTTTTGAGTGTTGAAGTGGTATACTAATATCTTTGGAAGATCGAGTTGACGTTGAGGTCCTTTGTGGTTTACCAAAATTGAGTTTTATTCATTGTTCTATTTGTTCACTTGTGGTTATGAGTATTTAAATTGCTATCCTCCAGTTCAACCGATAAATCCGTAAGGAAAAATTACAATGAAGGATTTGTGCTAATGATAGTTGCAGACTCTAAAACTTAGACTTCCTCTAAGGATCATGGATATAATTTACCATTGATCCTCACAAAATTACCAATGATGTTACTTACGACTACTTTCAAAATTACAAGAATGTTTTGTTTCAAGTTTTGTTCGTATCTTTGGATTAAAACACCTTGACAATATCTGGTTGAACGAGTTGTAATTTTAGAAGTACCAACCGTAATCCGCTCTTACGGTCTTTATCAGGAACTTTTATTTTTTGAGTCTTTAATTTCCACTAAAATAAGTCATGGATACTTCACTGTCATGTTCTTCCCGATCAATTATGGGTGACTGAAGCCATGGGATTTTGCCAGGTTTCTGGTCAGGCAGAGGTATGGGGTGATGGTGTGCCAGGAGTATCAGCCCATCTTCAGGGTGCACTCAACATTAGCTTGGTATGGCCTTCTCAACTAAATTCAAGACACCAGTCCGCATTTTGCATATATGCATATGCACCTTACATATATATGTGTGTGTGTGTGTGTATGGAGAATTTGTTGCTAATAGGCTACAATGGTATCATGCAATTTATATAGATTACTTTAATAGAATAAAACTTATTATTGTTGTTATACTTGGTATTATGCGACATAGACCACAGTGAGTGTAATCCAGTGTAAAGTCATGCAGTCAGGATCAGAGCCTTTCTTATTCTGACCTTGCTAGAAGAAAAGAAAGAATGGAGAATTGCTATGAAGTGATCTCAATGAAGAAACATAATTACTTAAAAGCTCCATAGTGACCACAGACAACTTGTAATGATAATTTTCAGTGTGAGAAATGATAACTGCTCTCTTGTCAGCTTATAAATATCGTATGTGTTGATTTGTTGGCGTTTGATGGATAGACTGGTCATTCAATAAACCACATTCAGGGATCTTGTGTGAGATAGACGCGCTTCGTTTGTCGTGTCAGAGGTCAAATAAGAGGGGCCATATCCTTTATTTATTTTTCTCTGTTGGTCCCGGAAGAGGGGTCATAATGTCCAATGAACAAATGAAATGTAGTGACCAGGACTAAATTGCAAGTAAACCGAGTGTAGGGAGCTATAGGAATTTAAGGATACACTCAGAACGGTGCCGTTTTGATGGTAAAATCATGGGTATTCAATTTTTTTTGGAAAAATAACATCCAGTTTCTCAAAGTATTTTTTCAGTAGCACAAAATATCCTAAAATAATTTTTGGTGCACTCAATACTTTAGCGCTCATTATCTTAAAATAATTTTTTATACACACTTTAAAATATTTTTCTAATAACACCTAATATTCTAAAGTATTTTTCTCCATAGCAATGAGCACCCAAAACTTAGAACATTAAGTGCTATTATGAAAATGCTTTAAGGTAAGCTTCAGTTACCAACAAAGAGTTAGTCTAGCGGTGAGAGGAGAATCCTCTGTAGGGAGGAAAAACCACAAACCTCGAATTAGATTAGTCAGATGATAATATATAAAAGAAAAATTATGTTAGGATATTAGATGCTCTGCTGGAAAAATATCTTAGGATACTAAGTATACTAAAAATTATTTTAAAATATTAGGTGGTGTTTATGAAAAAAATATTTTGAAGGTATTGAATGTATCAAAAATTATTTTAGGATACTTAGCGTTGCTAAAAGAAATACTTCAAGATATTTATCATTTTAAAATGCAGATCATATAAAAAATTATTTTATGATACTGGATATTACTGAAAAATATTTTAGGATGTGAAGTGTACTAAAAATTATTTTAGAATACTAGATGCTCCTAAAAAAATATTTGGAAGTACTGACTGTTCAAAAAATTATTTTAGGATATTTAATATTATTAAAAAAACTTCAATACGTTTGATGTTATTTGAAAAAAAAAAAATTCAATACCCACAACTTTACACTAGAAACGGCACCATTTAAGTAAAGCATGGCGGAGAACCTAAAGTCGCAGCGTAGAGAAGCTGCTCCCCAACTTATCAATCGGGCAATGAGGTCCTTCCATTGAGTGATATAAAATGCTACAGATAAAGGTAAAAGCAATTTTTTTCCGCGGATTTTTTTTTTTTTAAATATTTGTTACGGGGAAGATCTTTTCCTCATTTCTAAATCAGACGTTAGTGTTTTTTTGGCAGTAATATACCCCGTTGAACATATTCAACTGATAAAAATTGATATGTTGGAATTATTGATTAAAAAATTATGAAAGTATTTTTTTTAATTTTAATCATTATGTCATCAATTTGAGAGTTGAGATGTTTGGACGATTAGTTTTTTACAGTGATTTTATAGAGTTTCAAATAAGTATGTGAGAGGAGTTTTGTCTTAGCTTATATAA